CTTTATGTGCTCGAGTCCGTCAGAGTTAAAATAATTATCTGTCGACAAATCTATTTCTCTTCAGAGGGAAGGGGGGGACAAGGGGAGGCGGGGAGGTAGGCACATAAACCATAAAACCTGTGCTGTAGGACACTTCATTTTCCTTCTGGGAAGACTTTTTACTTGTTGAACCAAGACCGAATTAGTCTTAATATCACAGGAGAGTAAAAATCAATACTGCCGTGGCAGTGGGTGTCTGTTATTCACTTATGATGGCCTAATCTAAGTTGAAAGCAATAGGAGAGCAAGTGTTAAGCAGAAATTCCAGGAGCCAGCACGGGTCTGACGGACTGAGTACTGGAAAGTCACATCGGGAAGGCAGCGAGATGCCTCAGGTGTGTAGGAAAAGGCAGTTCGAAGGATGGCGGTACGGAGGGGGCTTCGATGGGGGCTCGGCCCTGCCGTTAGGGACCCAGTGGCAACGGCCCCTGCCCGTTGCACACGTACTGGGAGTGTGCGTATCTATATCTTTTTGTCACAAATTGCAAGTCTATATGGAGGAGGTTGCATACGCTTGGGGAATAAATGTGAATCTGTGTGCTGTGCACCTTCGTCCTTGCCGTATTTTCTTTTTTTTTTTTTTCCTCGAATGCAAAAATTTTAATAGACCTTAAGTTAGAGCTTATAAACACAATCAGAAACATCTTCTTTCTTTCTTTCCCTTTCCTTCCTTCCTTCCTTCTTTCTTTCTCTCTTTCCTTCTTCCTTTCCTTTCTCTCCTTCTTCCTTTCTTCCTTTCCTCCTTTCTCTTTCTTCCTTTCTGCCTCTCTCTTTTTCTTTCTCCTTCCTTCCTTCCTTCCTTCCTTCCTTCCTTCCTTCCTTCCTTCCTTCCTTCCTTCCTTCCTTCCTTCCTTCCTTCCTTCCTTCCTTCCTTCCTTCCTTCCCTCCCTCTCCCTCCCTTCCTTTCTCTCTTTCTCCCTTTCTCTTTATTTCTCTTTCTCTATTTCCTCCCTTTCTTTTCCTTCTTACCTGTTTCGTTTTTTCTCTTTCTTTCTTTCTTTCTTTCTTTCTTTCTTTCTTTCTTTCTTTCTTTCTTTCTTTCTTTCTTTCTTTCTTTCTTTCTTTCTTTCTTTCTTTCTTTCTTTCTTTCTTTCTTTCTTTCTTTCTTTCTTTCTTTCTTTCTTTCTTTCTTTCTTTCTTTCTTTCTTTCTTTCTTTCTTTCTTTCTTTCTTTCTTTCTTTCTTTCTTTCTTTCTTTCTTTCTTTCTTTCCTTCCTTCCTTCCTTCCTTCCTTCCTTCCTTCCTTCCTTCCTTCCTTCCTTCCTTCCTTCCTTCCTTCCTTCCTTCCTTCCTTCCTTCCTTCCTTCCTTCCTTCCTTCCTTCCTTCCTTCCTTCCTTCTCTCTCTTTCTCTCTCTCTCTTTCTCTCTTCCTTTCTTCCCTTCCTTTTTTTCTTGCCTGTCTTTTCCTCTCTTTCTCTCTCTTTCTCTCCCTTTCTCATTTGCTTTCTCCCCTGCTTTCTTCCTTTCGATATTTTTAGCGAGGCATTTGTTTAAAAGGCCTCATGAGCATTTGGTGGGTTTATGAACTATTCTGATTCACTCAACGGAAAGCAGAACATTCTGGTTTTGCACAGTTTCCTACCATGAAAATAGGAAACTCTGCAAAGCTTTTATTTTCACCATCTGTTTTATTAACATATGAATTTGTTTTCTTTGTACTCGATAAGGATTGTATTTATTACAAAACAAGCTCCTTAACTTTTCAATACATACATCGGTCATTACCGTATAATACAAACGTGGTGTCGCTTGTAACATTCCAATCGTTTTGGGGCAGATGAAAGGAAACCCAGCATTTGTAACTATTTTTATTTGTTCATTCCTGACTCTCCAAAAATGATATCCGATAATACTTTTCTATAAAATAATATTTTTACAAATGCATTTATTAAAAATTCTGATGACATTTCAAGTTAATAACAACAGAAACAAGTCGTTTTCCGGTGGACGAGACCTATGGTTTCTTTTAAAAATACCTTTAGTGCTTCTTTTCTAACATCAACAGTTGTTTAAAATCACAGCTTTTTGAACGTATTATTCTTTTCTGAACATCACGTGTCTTGATTCACAGAGTTACCGGCAAAATTAAAAAGATTTGGCTGAAATATGTCTACAGAAGAAATAATCCCAGCTATTAAGGAACTTTTTACATTTGGCATCTGATCTAGTCACAGGTCATCAGAAAATAGGAAGAGGTTCTTTGATCACTTGAAGCAGTAGGTGGCATCCTATACGTTCCTATTCAACGATTGCCTCTACACCATAAGGAGAGATCAGTTTAGGATTTTCATATTTATTAACCCAAAATAAAAATACAGTATCTCGTTACATAATCAAGTGCAATTAGGCCAGTCAGAACAACATATAAACCTGAAACCACCCCAGCTTTTCTTCTTTATACATATTTTGTAGGTGCATAATCCTTTCCAGCAAACTGAAAAGAAATACTTCAGAAGTCCTCTTAAAATTTTACTTTGATTTATATTCTGCAGTTATAGAATAAACTTCAAGAAACACACGCAGCTAATATATAGTTAATTTTATTCAGAGCACCGATTTTCACATAAGAGCTATCTCAAAGTAATGAATTCTGGATTTAGCAGAAAAATACATCTCTCACTATTTTCTTTTTGGTAGAATTAGTCTTATCGTCTAACGGCCACCCCTTGAATTTACCAGCCGTGTCTCAGAATATTTATTTTTCTCTCGTTTTTTAAATGCACCCAATAATAATAACTATTCTGTTTTCACGTTTGTTTTATTTGTAAGTATGCTGGGACGCATCTCCCTGTTGTATTTTGGCTTACAGAAATATTTCTGGTAGAAATAAAAGTAATAAAGACACAACCAAGGAGAAAGCTCAGCAAACATACATGGACAGGTAGATTATTCGGTGAGACAGTTCAAGATCCACACGTGGTTGCAGTTTGAAACCTTTTTTTTTTTTCCTTGTGCATTAAAGAAAATATTTACAATCGTCTTTCTTCCTTTTTCTTTTTTTTTCTTTTTTTTTTTTCCTTCCCTCTTTTAAATCTAAATACAAGAACGTGACAAGAATGTTTGTGTTTTCGGTGAAAACAGGCAGTTAAACTGTGAAATTACACCATCCACAAAAGATTCTACCAGAAGCTAGTCTATTTAGTGCTCAGTTTCAAAATGCATAGAATGTTTGCGCTGCAAACAATGATACACAAAATAATAATATTAATAATAATAACAAAATAAATAGATAAATAAATAAATATTATCGAGACTTTATCACGGATCTTTATCACGGATCTTTCTATGCCTTTTTTTTTCCCTTTTTTTTTTTTCGGTCATGCATACTTTCAGTCTATTGTTTGTTTTGATTTAAAAAGAACTGTATTTTCTTTTCAGAGACTCCTTGTTAGCTAACAGCCTTAACAGTCGCTCGGTGTCGGCCGGAGCCACCAACCGCTTCTGCAAGAAGCTGGCGGTTTTACCTAACGAGCTCTGATAATTTAATTTTAATTTCTTTTCTTTTTCTTTTCTTTTTTCTTCAATCCGCAAGACATCTAATGCACCTTGATGATCATTAGTAGTACCAGCATTGTTATTACGGAACAACATCATCGCTTCCAACCCGGGAGACTGTGATAGTGCAAATTGAACCCTCCCCAATACCCAAACCCCATCCTCTACCTAACGTTTATTTTTTAGAATAAACGACTTTTAAGCCCAAATGGGATTTCCTCTTTTTCTTTTTTCTTTTTTTTTCTTTTTTTTTTTTTTTTTTTTTGTGTGTGTGTTTATTCCCAGCATGCAGACCCTTCAGAAACAAACGGCATTTCAAACCCTGCACTGGTGATTTCTGTTGCCTGCCGCGGGCAACCACCCCTGGCCCCCGGAGGAAACCAAGGCGGGACCTTTTCCCCACCGCAATCCCTTGCTAACCTAAATCCAGCAGAATCTGATAGGGATGCCGGGGGCCATGGAGAGGGAAGGAGGGGAGGGGAAGGGAGGGGAGAGGACCTAGTTAACCACTAGCCTTAATGAATCTGAACATCATCTTTTCGGAGAGCATCCCTGCTAGGGCAGGTTTAGCAGCTGCCTCCAGACACATCTCTGCGGAGACAGGGACCTGTCTTCAGACACGGATGGAACCGCAAACTATGCAGGCGAGGGAAGGGAAACAAAGGGGCAGCGGAGTAACTTTTTTTGGATGGGTGGGAGGGGGGTGGGGGGTGAGTGTTTTTTTCCCTTGAGCTAGCTAGGATTAGGGAGGCAAGAGCAGAGAGGAAAGGGACCCGCTCCCAAGCATCGGGAGCTCCGGCTGCCCCGGCCCCGTTTGCACAGCTCCTAAGCACAGACAAGACCCGTCGCCAAAGCCTCGAGAAAAAACGCGTTCGGGGGAAAAGCAGGGGGAGAAAAAGAGGAAAAGAGAGAAGAGGGGAAAAAAAAAAAAAAAAGAAGAAAGATACAAAAGAAAAAAAGGGGAAAACCCCAGAAACAAACACACCAAACCCAAAGAAAAAGACACCCCCTCCACCCCCCCCCAAAAAAAACACCGCCATCCTCATTCATTACCAAGCCAGAGAAAAAGAAAGAAAACCAGAAAGCAATGAAAAGAGACCCAAACCAAACGTAGCATCATCACCGACAGTTTCGCCTTCTGGGTTTGTTGGTCGGTTTTGTTTTCCTTCGGAAAGTTGTGACTTAGGTTGCTCGTTTTGTGGTTGTTGCTGTCACGGTATTTATTGGTGTGTGTCTGTGTGTGTTTAAGTTTTAAATTGCTCTTTCTCCCGCTTTCTGTTGGGGGGTGGGGGGGGCAGAGAGGGGGATGGGGCCGCTGAAGTGACCCCCACCGGTTTCTAGAGCGTTTTTACCTCCTCCTCTCTCCTTCTTCTCGTTGGTGTCCCGATGTCTTTTTGTTTTAATAATTGATAGCGCACTACCTTCCTCCCCCCTCCCTCCCCGCAGGCCCCCCTTTCCCTTCTCAGCGAGTAGTTCGCGTTTAATTTCTACATCGTCCCTTGGTCCCCAGGAGCTTCCCACGGCATCTCGGGCGACGGCGACGGTGGGTGTGCGGCCCCTGGACCCAGACCCGGCCCGGAAACCCCTGGGGCCGCTCCTCCCGCCCGCTCCTAGTAGGTGGCAGAAAATTTCATCCGTTTCTGCTTCTGTCTCTGGTTGCAAAACCAAACCCGCACTACGTTCTTTTTGAGGTCCAATTTCTCTGCGATGGCGGCGATCTTCTCGGAGGAGGGCCGGGGCTGAACGGCGAAGTAAGCCTCGAGGGAGCGCTTCTCCGGAGCGGCGATGGAAGTCCGCTTGCGCTTCTTCTCCCCTCCGTTGAAGAGCTCGGGCTTGTTCATTTTTTCCCGCTGGGCGCCCTCGGCCTCCTCCAGCCAGGCCTGCAGGATGGGTTTGAGGGCGATCATGTTGTTGTGGGAGAGGGTGAGGGACTCGAAGCGGCAGATGGTGCTCTGGCTGAGGGAGCCCACCCCCGGGATCTTCAGGTTGGCCAGCGCCGAGCTTGATGCGCCGCTGCTTGAAGCGTTCGGCGAAGGCCTCCAGCTCCCGCGGGTCCGTGTCCGAGTCGCAGATGGAGGCCAAGCCGGCCGCTCCTACCACCGCCGCAGCCGAGGCCACCTGCCCCGCGGCCCCGTGGTGCGCGGCCACCAGCCCCGGGTGCGGCAGCCCCGACGGCATGTTCATGGCGGCCGGGTGCGAGAGGTGGCCCAGGCCGTGCATGTGCGAGTGCGGGTGGGCCGAAGTGGAGATGAGGCCGCCGCCTCCCCCGCCGCCGCCGCCGCCTGCCCCGCCGCCGGCCCCTCCGCCGCCGCCGCCCGCCCCGTCGTGGCCGCCGCCGCCACCGCCTCCGCCGCCGCCTCCGCCGGGCATAAGCGCCAGGGAGGGGGAGGTGATGTGGTCGAGGAGGTCGCCGGGCTCCAGCGCCTGGTGGTGGTGGTGGTGATGGTGGTGGTGGTGTGCCAGAGGCACGGTAGAGGTGGAGGTGCAGGGCACGCTGTTCATCGTGTGGTAGGTGGCGTCCGGCTTGAAGGGGTGGCTCTTGCCCTGCGAGACAGCAATGTCGACGGCGGCCAGTGCCTCGGCCCGCGCAAGCAGGGTTTCATCGAGGCTGGCGAAGATATTGCTCTGCAGCTGCAAGGGACACAAAACAGAGAGGGGTGCGGGGAAAGTAGGGCGGGGGGGGCGTTGGGAAGCGGTCAAAGAGAAAAGAAGGATGGAGACGGAAGCGAGAGTGTGGGTTTGCAGGGGCGCCGTGGGGAAGGAGCAGGGAAAGTCGAGAGAGGGGATCCCGTGAGGAGAGAGAAAGTTGGGGGGAAGGAGGAGGGGAGCCGGCAGCAGCGTGCCAGTGTGAAGGGATACGGGGCAGGGGGAAGAGCCAAGTGAATGATAGAAGCGGGGTATAGCCGGAGGCAGCACAAGGAAGGGAGGGGAAATAGGGGATGGGGTAGAATAATAGGAAAGAGAGCGAGGAGGGGAGCAAAACAGGAAAAGAAGAAGCAAAGAGTAGAAAGGGCAGAAAGCCGGGGGGAAGGATCCAAATAAAGAGGGGACGAGGGAAGGGAACAAATAAATTTAAATAAAATTAAATTAAAAAAAATAAAAAAGAAAGAAGAAGAGAAAGGAGAAGAAATGGATCTGTAACTCTCAGCTGGGGAATTGTGTCAAACACAAGAGCACATAAAGCGCATTCCTCTTCAGAGGCCGAGTCATAAAAATTAATACAGAAAGTGGATGAAGTCGGAGGCTCGTGTGAACACCGCTTTCAAAGAAGATCACAGGCACTCAGATGATTGCAGAGGAAGACATGAAAAAAACATTAAGCGCCGCTTGTCAAAATGTGCCTCGCAGCGGTTTTTTTATTAATGCACATACACATACATGCAGTGTACAGGAAAGAGAGAGAGAGAAAGAAAGACTGTGTGTCTGTGTGTAAGAGAGAGAGAGGGAAAGAAAGAAAAATAAAGAAATAAAGAGAGCTGTAGCTGCCTGTCCCTTACCGGTGGAGTTGGTAGACATGCTCTTCTTATTGCTTCCGAGCTGGAGTGTAGAGAGGGGTATTTGTGCTCAGGTAGGGTAGGATGCATGGCAAAATGCGGCTGCTTGCTGTTCATGGACATCATCTTGAAGGCTTGGCATGTAAATCCACAAACACTCCTGAAGTCGAGGGAAAAGTGTTCTCCGGGAGCTCTCGTCCTCCTCCCGCCGTGGGAAGACGCGGACGGCGGCGGACGGCGGTTGCGGAGCCGGTGGCGCGGTGGCGCAGCGGACCCTGCCCCCGCCGCCGCCGCGGTGACCGGGGCTGGGCTGGGCGGGTGAGAGAGCGGCGAGGCTCCCTCCGGCCCCCGCCGTCTCACTCCTCTGCCTGCCGCTGCCCGGCGCCGGGCGCGCTGCGCTGCGCTCTGCCCGCACCTGAGCCCCGCATCCCGTGGCTACCGCCGGGCGGGCTCTCGCGAGAGCGTGGCGGCTCCGGCTTTGACAGGCATCAGCTGTCTCCCCCCCTTCCTCCTCCTCCCCCTCTCTTTCCTCCTCCTTCTCCTCCTCCTTTTCCTCCCGCCGCTGCCACCTCCCCCGGTCCCTGCCTCCCCGCGCCTTGTTGCATCTCCCGCAGCCCTCGCCCGTCTCGCAGGGGCGGTGGCGGCGGGGCCGCTCTTATAGCCAGCGACGCCGAGCACCGGCCGGCTGCGGCACCTGTGGTTGCCACACGTGCGCGCTGCGCGGCCACCAGCGCTGCCCAGGGGCGCCCCGACGGGGCGGGGATGGGCGGTGGGGCGCGGAGGCGGCGGGCGCCCCCGGGGCGGGGCCGGTGGGGTACGGGCCGGCACCCCTTCCCTGCCTCTGAAGCGGCGGTGGGAACCGGCCCGGCCCTCGGCACCCCTCGGCACCCGCGCATAAAGGTGTGTGGTATCTGCCGCAGCCGAGGGCCCTCATGGTAGGAAGTGCCGCACCCCGCCGCTGCACGGGGGAGAGCTGCGCTTCGGCTCTCAGGGAAGAACAGCGGCGGCAAGCGTTTGTTTGAAGCACTCCGAGGATATCGATTTCCGTATAGTTTCATTCCCCCATCACCGCCGAGTGTAGTTTTGTTACAAAGACACAGCCGGTGACAGCCTCTTTGCCCACGAGGAGCGTGGGCTTCCCACACAGGGAAGTGCTGCAGAGGTGGAATTGGGCATCTCCTCCTGGCTTCCCGGGCAGCCCCCTCTCCTTATGCCTAGGAAAACCCAAGTTTCATTGGCGTGGTCTGAAGGGGAAAACACAAACAGAACGTGTTTTCTCTTTCACTCTTTCTTCCCGTTTTTCTTTCTTTCCTTCTCTCTTTCTCCCTCTCTTCCCTCCTCTCTCCCCTCTCCTTCCCCCGTACTCTTCCTTTCTCCCTTTCTTCCTCCACTCTCTTTCTTTCCCTCTCTCTCTGACCCAGTCCTCCTTCCTCTCTTCCCTTCTTCCTCTCTTTATTTTTCTTTCTCTTTTTCTGTCATTTCTGTCTTTTCCCCCTCTTGCTACTCAGGTACTTTATATACAAGAAACGAGTGATTCTGTATTACATGAGCTAAAAATATAAAAAAAAAAAATAATATGGAATTGCTCGCTCTTTTTCTTCCTTTCTTTCCCTTCCTTCCTTCCTTCTTTCTCTCTTTCTCTTTTTCTTCCTGTCTTACTTTCTCTTTCACTCTTTCTTTTTTCCTGTCTTACTTTCCTCTCTCTTTTCTGTGGTTTATTCTTTGAGCACTCTTGCATTTGAATGGAAAAGTTAAGGAGTGACAGTGACACTGGGATTAATGACTCACGGTTCTTTTTCGAGGTTACCTGGGATTCGAGGTTACTGCTCCGTTTTAGAGCAGGGTTTTTTGGTTTGGGTTTTTTTGTTTGTTTGTTTGTTTGTTTGTTTTGTTTTGTTTTTGTTTTTTTTTAGCTACTTATGAATTTGGAGGCAAAACTGTCAAAGGTGTGAATCTACTATTGCTGTGCCTGTGGGATTAGTGTGAATCCCCAGGGAACAGCCCCCAGTGAATCCTCTCCCCTGGGGCACGCCGAAGTTGTCCCTCGGTGACCGACTAGATGCTGCCTTGTTTGCTTCAGCAGGGTTGCAGGCAGGCGGGCAGCAGCGGGGTGGTTGGATCAGGGATGTGACAGCCTCGGAGTGCATCGGAATTGCTCTGTTTCTCCTGAACGTCTCTTATTTATGCGCATAAACACAGCCGAAAGGGCACGCAGGCACACACACACGGAGCACACAAGCACACACCACAACCCCAGGTAAAGTCCACATTTGTCTTCATAAACCCTTCCCCAGCTCCCCATCCAGCCGGGAGGAAGGAGGGAACGGCTGCCAATTACTTGTGCGAAAAGGAGCCAGGTCTCCATCCATTACCGCGTCCCCTGGGGTGGCGGAATGCAACTTCATCTCGGGAGGGAGGGGGGTGAACTTGAGACTGAAAGACACTAGTCTGAAGAGGGGTTGTTATCTGCTTATTTATCGAAATCATTGCAGCAGAATAGCTAAATTATACTTTATGGGGACTTCTTCCCCTTTTTTAATTTTTCTTTTTTTTTTTAAGCCGTATGACTTCTAGCTGTTTCTAAGCTCCCAGAAAGCCTCCTGGGGAAGGGATGGAGAGAAGGAGGAGGAAAGTGGGAAACAGCACCTCTTTTCGCCAAGTTAGCTGCTGTGAAGTGCCCAGGTCTCGGAGAAAGGCCCGGGCATCCTTCTTTTCCTACCAGCGGCTGAAAGCCAGGCAATGGCCCTCCTGGGGAGCTCCTGTTTGCTCCCCGGCCGGGAGGCAGGCAGAAGGCCAGGCTCACTTCCTCCCCCAGCGGAGGAAGGCATAGGATGCCCCGGTAGTCACTCTCCAGGACGCTGTCAGGCCAAGTGTATCAGGTTTCCCTACGGAAAAAGCTGGGAGCCAGGAAGAATTGTGCAAGCGGCGACCAGGGGTGAACGGATTTCCAGTCTGGGAGGTGACCTGCCTTCCTCCCCGCATGCCGCCGGGTTTGCTGTGCCTCTGAGGTTGGGGTCCCTACTCCCTGGGCAGGCAGGGCTAGGGCAGGGCAGTGAGGGCAGGCAGCAGGCAGCCTGGCCCCGGCTGTTCCCGCAGCACAGCGGGGGCCGGCGGCTCGGGCGGGAGCTGGCGGGCGAGACCTTTCCCTTGGCCTGAGGAGCATAGAACCACTCCAGGACTTGCGAACACCTTCTGCTCACGTCTTTCTTTTTGTTATTTTTTGGCCATAAAGGCAGAAAATTCAGCCACCATCCCGCCTCTGCGCCCAGTGCCAGCCGCAGGCTGAGGAGGTGAGGACCTCCAGAGGTTTTACAGGCCCGTCCCTCGGCGTCTTCTGAAGGTCTCGGCAGCTTGCGATATGCATCCTACTGCATACTTCTCTGTTTCTCAAATCACGGGTGAAGTAGTTCCGCCTGCTGGAGAAACACCCACTTCAAGATGCTCTTTGCCCCTTCATTAAAATCCATCGAGGCCCGATCATCCAACTTTTCACTCTGTCTGATCTTCCAGAGGTGCAGAGAGAAGAGAGGAGGATGAAAGGATTTTGGTCTTACACTTACCAAGTCAGCGAGAAAGAACTTTCCATCGCAGTCCTTGGGACACATCTATCTATCTATCTATCTATCTATCTATCTATCTATCTATCTATCTATCTATCTATCTAATCTATCATCTATCTATCTAATCTATTTATCGTAAGAGGGGTAGCACTAACTTTAGAGCAACGCTTAAAGTTACATCCCCGCCTCGATGTTGCCCTGACGGAGGTCTTGGCCTCGCGGCCCCCTCAGCTCCCCCGGCCCCACAGAGCTCAGCCCGGGGCTCACTTCGGACCAGCTCCCCTTGTCGCCAGCCCCCCGCAGCCTTTTCCCCCCTCACACACAGCCGGCTCCCCGGGAAGACGGCTTGAGCCAGGCTCAGCACCGCACGGGCCTGGTAATAGATTTTATCTTGATGTTCGCTGTTATTTCTATTCCTCGTGGGTACGTCCAGCCTCATGAATACTGATGGCAGTAAACTCGCAGGCTTTGAGGAGCGAGTTCACTGGCGGTACGACCACTCTGCAGCCCTACGTTTGTAGCCAAAGATGCTCGATAAGGCGAGGGAAGCATATATATACATAAAATGCATTTACTTGTCTCCCGTAGTTTTCTCAAGCTAGAAATGCAAGAAAGAAATAGGAAGATTTCCTTAATTGATATCTCGAAAAAGTAATAAAATAACCTCTTATTCCCACAGTGAAACGGTTTCTAAATTAATTACTGTAACCCATTGTATTTGATTTCTCTTTTAGGATTCCCTACAGATGAATATACTAAAGCTTGAGATATAAAGAATTAACGTCTTATCATAGTTTGCTATGTAGCCCGAGTTTAAATAAAAAGTTAAAGTGGATCCTGTAGAACCACTCGCTCTAAACCTTCTGGGTACTTTTATTTCATCAAACGTTAGCTTTACATTTTTTACTCGTGGTATTTGCCCTTCCACAGAGTGTCAGAGGGAGCGCTGAGAGAAAACCTACAGTACGTGTGTTATTTGGTGAAGTTTACAGGAAGTCAATATCCCATTTAATATAGAAGTTATTTTCCCTTTAGATGATAAAATCAACCTTCAGAAGACAAAAAAACCAATACCCACAATACAACCCCTATTCTTCGGGTGAATGCACAAAAAAGTATTGCCATGTCCTAATGAGGACTTTCTTTACATCAGCAAAGACTTGCTAATTACTGATGTACAAGCCGCAATAATTGCTTTCGCAGCCAAAGTGTAGAATGTTGTCATATTAAAAATTGAAACGCTTGATGGTGATGGAGGTCCCATGATAGTTCACACCGTCCCGTTTCGGGAAAGTGCGGAGACCGGCGGAGCCAGGCATCCGGGAGAAAATACTGCAGGTCTCTTGCTAGTCAGGTTCCTCGCTCTTTCCTTTCAGCGATGAGGAGGGATTAAGTCGCACAGCGAGAAGTCCCGCCGGCAAAACCCCTCCCGAACCGTGCTCGCTTTCCACACCGGCTCCGTGGGCAAACCCGCTGTGGCTTCCACTCGAGGCCGCGGTCTCTCCCGCTCCCGGGACACCGCATTTCGGGGGGAAGTGGCTGAAACACGGCTCCTTAATCCCCTCCGGCACATGCGGGGTCGGCAGCCGAGTCCCACAGCGCGCCGGGATCCGCTCGGCTGCCGAAACCGGGAGCGAGGCCCCCTCCCCCGCTCCGCGAATCAAAGCACCTTCCGAGGGGCTGGGAAGTAGTTGCCTTGTCATGTAACACATTGCCCTGATTTATTATAAAATTTTAACGAAATCATGCATATTTCAACAGCCTTTAATCACTGCATGAAAATTTAATTCATGAACTGTAGCGCGTTTAAATAAATGAAGTGTTAATTCATTAGGATTAATTAATTTGTTAAAGGATTGTGTGCAAGGTTAAGGTGGAAGAAAAACTCTTTGTTAGTTTCGCGTCGTAATCAGGTTTTGTTAACAGCGAAGGCGGGGGGGAGAAAACACGCCCAAGGGTCTGCGGGGGGGGGGGGGGGCGAGCCAGAGGTGGGGGCAGAGCCGGCGGCTGGACGGAGCCTGCTCCCACTGGGGACCGTAGCCTCTGCCTCCCACCACCTGTTCTTCCCTAGCTGGGATCGGGTCCCGGTGCCCGTGCCGGTTAATTAACTGAATCCCGGCCGAGCGGGCGGAGGCAGGTGCCGAGGAGCCCCAGGCGGGAGGGGACGGTGACAGGCGCATCCCCTCCACCACACTCCGAGCAGGGTATAAAGACTCCGTGCCGCCCCTCTAGCTGGGAGCCAGCGCGAACACTTCAATACCCTAAACCCCCTCCCCCCCCATCCCTCATATTATTTCCAGTGAGGTCTGGATCACCTGTCTAGTCCCCGGGTTTCAAGGAGAGGATGGCCTGAGATAGGGACAGGGACCTCTTATCCCTGCCCAGTCCCCATGCTTCTCTGGCACATTTCACCTACTTGAAACTAGCACCCAATGACCTGATGACATCAGGTCCAAGTAGTAGCTGCCTGATGGATTTTGGCATTGTCCACCTCTCTTCCTTGAAAGAGAGCAGACAGCACCCACACAGCGTGTCAGAGCACTGGAGAGGAGACAACACTTTCTACCGGGAAAAGCTGAAAAAAACATCAAGAATGCTAAACTTGATTTGTTTTTCACCCGAGTTTCATCCCCTCCTGCATTCATGACTGTTGAAGCACAGGCAAGCTCTTCCCTGTACCAGCTGTGCTTTTCCCTGTGTTCTTCAGCTAACGAAGATGGCTTTTCCAGTTAGAGATAAGGGACTTGGAGGCAATAGCTCAATGTTGGGCCACAAAGGCAGGACAGACAGGCCACCCCTTTAGGCCAGGCCTGTGGCAGAGGACTGCTGTAAGGGACCAAGGGGCAGGAAGGGCCAGACTGGGATAAGCAGCCAGAGGGGGCTGTGTATCATCTCTGATTGTGTGTGATCCTTGGAATAACTGTGAATCCTCACATCAAGTTACCTTGGAGCTGCTTTTTCTCACATCCAAACCTGGGAGTGGAGAAGGGAGAAGCCTCAGTCTGTTTCTATGGGATGGTCCTATGCCAAAAGCAGCAAGGAAGAAGTGTCAGCTTCACGGTTTGTGAGACATTTAGCATAACCACAGTACAGAAGAGGTGTGTGAAAACTGTTTTTTCAAGCCTATTGGTGCTGGGAGTCAAAGGCAGGACTTCAATGCTGTGGAAGAATTAGGATCAGACTTGGTTGGTTTAAACCGCATTTGAATGACATTTCGTGGGGGAAACAGTTGTGAAGAAGAGGGAAGGAAGTGAGACGCAAGTTAGCACATCTTATATTGCATATACAAGGTATGTATTGTTCCCCTTGTACCCTTTTTGAAGATACTTTAAACAGAGACAATAAAGCACGTTCAAAACCAAACATAGCCCAAGTCAGCACCTGGTGTTGGTGGGTAGAGCCATTCCAGCAGCCTTTCACCTGAGGAAGCAATAGTGATCAGAACTGGGCTCTCACTGGGCCTTCAGGGCATCACAGAGGAGCAGGTCACCTTCCCAAGTGTGTGTAGATTAAAGTGACAATAACAAAGCGAAAACCTCACCCTGGCCTTCTTGCTCTTTAGTACAAACCAAAAGAATCCACTTGCAACAAATGGCGGCCGGTAGCAATCTCCCTCTTGTGTCACCTACACTCCCGAAGAGCATTCTCCTATGCTAAAACCTGAAGGTTGCCTTGTACTTAGTACAGGGTTATTAGATGAAGTAAAAATTTTATGAGCCATTAAATATCATTAGACATCACAGATCTGTACATCACTTTGAAACATCTATTGTCTTAATCAAAATTGTAACAGTTAAGTTTTAGATCTTGTGCATTCCTGTTCTATATTACTTCAGAACCAGGTAACTATCATAAAAAATTAACAGCGGTGAACTCTCTCTTAGGTGCTTTTATTCAGGGGGCTTGGTAAGCGCAGTAATAGATTAAGCATGCACAGCATTGACAGAATGCAGCCTGGAGAACCGAAGCCCCACCTATAGCCAACAAACTTATAACTGAAGAAACCCTACTCGTTACAAACAGCTTGAATTTTTTAAGTTGATATTGCACCAATCACTCTGTCAAACTCCAAAAGCCAAAAGGAATACAATGTACATTAATCAAGTAAAATGTGGAATTTAGACTGTGGTAGTTGTTTTAAGGGCACTCAATTAAAAAAACCAAGAGCAAACCCCAAAATAACCACCAACCAAGCCCCAGCCAAACAAAACAAGACCAAGATACCAGAATTCCGATCTGCTTCAGCTTTACCATGAGTGAAACAGAAAATGCTCCTACTTACAGCACCGGATGTGAGCACAATCTGCTCACGGTATCTGCAGCTGGGATCTGAGGGTATGAGAAAGCTTGGAAATCAAGTAATTATGGGTAACTATGATAATGTTTTTGCCACAGGGAAGTTACATTTGTGCTCCCGCAACCCTTCCAAGTGAAAAGCCTGTACTTGGCCTGAAACACCTTGCTCTCCCCACTTAAGATAGGAAATTTATGACTTTGATCTTCAGTTTCTTTTAACCTTAAGCTTGGTTCTTCTATCCATTCAAGTCACATGACACATAGGGTCAAAACACCCATATTGAGGAGCAAGCCCGTTCCAAAGGACTGTAGTATGCAAATAACCCCCAATGTTCTCTTTTATTCTGGTTTGATTTCAGGTACCGGTTATATTCATGCTTCCATCACTGAAAATGACTTTTGCATCATAAGTATACTGGAGTATAAAATGAAGCCCATAAACACACCCCCAACCTCACAATGAAACAAAGCAACCTTAACACTTATTGTGTGACTGCTCTGCAATACAAGGGTGTTTTAAGAAAGTGTTAGAGATATATTTTGAGATCCTTTTGCCTCTTCTCCCAAAGAGTTCAAACAAAGCATCATTTTTTACTTGTGACTTTTGACTTATTAGTAAAACTAATGAAGTAAATTAAGTTAATCAAAACCAGTAGCAGCCCATGCCCAGATGGTTTTGCTATTTCCCTAATTTCTGAAAAATACATTAACAGGGAATAACTACATTTTTCTGTAAAGACTAAAATTCAGGTGGTATACTGAAGGCAGTACATGAAGGCACAATGCCACCCTATCATCACAAAAAGGTCCTTCCGTGTATGACCTGAATGCTGATTTTTTTGGTAAAGCTTTCTCAAATAAGTCTCAGCTTAGAATGAACACACCGATCACACTAATGTATGCACACAGCACAAGGTGAAATGTAGTTGTTCTTCAAACCGCTTACAGGACTTTCCTTTACAAAAGATAAGCCAGTCTGCTGAGGTTTCCCAAGTGGCTATCACTCTTTTCCAAGGGACACAAAGCAGCGTATGGATTTTTCATATCATAGGTATTGATGAAGCAAGGATGTCTGTTTCTAAGAAATGCCATCAGAGGCCTATATAGAAAGAAAAACCCACATCTTGCAATTAAATATGCCCTTAAAAAAACTTAAACACAATAATGCAAAGAAACCAATTTTGCTCTGCTGCTTAATTAGGTCTCCTGCCTGTAGTAGGCCATCACATTATGTTGACCTATGCAATACTTTATGGAAGAGTCACCTCCAAAGAGGCCGAAAGCCATTTCCATCAACAGTATCGATGCTGACACTGGAATGGTAATATGTCTAACAAGGAGGAGGAAGGGAGATTTGATTTTGTCTTGTGAATAAGCTTACATTTGTGTTTTACAAAACTTAAATATCTAGTTTCCAAATTACAAAAAAAAACAAACAAAAAAAAATTAAAAAGTTTCCCCATTCTTTTTCTCCTAATTCAGTACTTGAGGCAACATCAAGGATTACAGTGCATAACATGTTTTATTCAATTCACATAGAAAAGCATGCAGTATTAATGTAAAATGGTACAGTATTAATGTAAAATGTTCAGTGCACATTAGGTAAACAAGTCATTAGCATACAAACCCATTTTTATGGTCTATACAGGCATACTGAGCACATTTAGAATAACAATGCTTTTTGGGAACTAAATTAAAAATTGTGCTTAACTTCAAAAGATACAAGCAGTGTTCATGAAGAGATGTTTTTTAACTGAAGTGCTGTAAGCCTGAAAAGAAAGAGGCTGCTACCTTACACCCCCATAAAACAAAGAGTTTCATTCAGTATAGCACAGTGCTATGAAACAGTCCAAGCAGCAACATTTCATCTGGTAGGTGAGTTTTATGGCAAAAGTGACATTGTTTTATAGCAATTCCATGAATCCATAGGATATATAGCCAGTAGCTGCCTTACACGCACAAGACAATCTTTAGGAATGGGAAATGTAACTTTTAAAATAAATTCTTACAGACATGATTTGACAAGATCACTTGCAACTGTCCTGCTCAAGGGAACCATTAGCTGTGTCCACAACTAGAAGATGATGTAACGTGAAAACTTAAAATCCAAAAACCCACCCCCAAGTGAATAAAATGCCCGGCCAAAGAAAAGAACCTGAACTCGTTCTTGCCTAGGAAAAAGCTTGTAACAGGGAAGGGACTGTTCAGATTTCACATACATTGGATTGCATGGTAGTCATTAAGTTCACCTGTAAATATTAAACATTTGCAGGTTGACGACTTTAAGTCAAGTTTGCTTTCCAAGCAGAATCAGTTTTTGGTGGCTTTTGATGGACTAGCACTGGAAAGGCTGCTTTGAATTTTCCTCTTGGTTGACTGACTGGCATTTTTATTTTTCCTTTCAGCTATAAAGGAAGACACCCAAGGAGGATTAAGCTGATTGTGCAGGTCAGATGGCATCTTTAAAAAGCAGGAACCAAACTTTTGTTCCTCAAACAACCTTTGTGAGTTACTGAATAGCGAACTCTGAGAAAAGTCTCTTTGAAATGAACAGTTTGGAGGTTTGATATCACTAGCCACTGTGTTCTGGCCTGTAAACAGTGGAAAGTGGTCATTCATACCCAGCTCAGATGGGGAGAGCATGGAAAACACAGCAGGTTTCCAGCCAGTTCTGTCAACTGCTGGATCGCTTGTCTCTGGACACTTCATACTCTGTTCCTCATTCATCTCTTCCAGTTTCTTTTCGGACCCATTCAGAAGCTTAGAGCACTCTGTTGACTTTGAAGAATTATCAAGATCAGAGGATTTGAAATTATAGCATGGACTCTTGCTGTTGTCTGACTCCGACATCATTGAGTCCAACTCAGAAATTTTATCGAGGTAGGCAGCATCCATAGATGCCTCGCTAGAGGTTCTTGTGCGATTCATTTCAGAAGAGCAGAGGGTATGCAACCTCTTAGGTAAGCAAGAACTTGTTTTATCGCTGGACTTTGCTGATGTCTCATCTGACTGACCAGCTACTGAATTTTGCTCTGATTCATCAAAATCTAAGTTCTCAGCAAAATTTGCGGGGCAGGTCCCCCAAAACCCTGATTTTCCTGTAGTAAAACAGTTTAGCTTCTTTTCGTTATTACAGCTGCTTGTGCTGTGTTCAGGAGCATCTTTGCTGCAATCATCTGAAGTATCACAAAACTCTTCAAATTTCAGTTTTCTCAGGAACGCTGATGGTTTCCTTGCATTTTCTTTCCCATCAGGAGTGTTCAACTGAAGGCGACTGAGAGACAGAAAAGGAGTGCACGATGGTGGAAGATCATAAAGTTCTTTGTCCTTATATGGGGTACATTCCTCAATTTTATTCCACTGCTCTTCTAAGCAGGCATCCATATTTGTAGTATTTTCGTCCAGGAGAACCCCATGACATCTTGGAAACAGTTCTTTCTTTGAGGCACACTGGGTATCTGAGCCATTTGAACCCTCTTGACTAGAAGAGCTTAAACTAGTTTCACCACTTGTCAGCTGTTCAAGACTGTCAGGACTTTGACTGGTAGTCAAAGCTTTTTTTTCCTCAACTTGGGCTTTCAAACATGTTGCATCTTCACTGCTCTCGGCTCCTTTAGCATCTGTGGAAAGCACTCTCTCACTAACAGTGCTCACTGTCTGTGTTCCTTTGGCTGCATTTTGCAGCTGTAAAAGCTGACACTCAATTTCTTCTATGTATTTATCACTTCTTTCCAGTGCCTTTTTTAGACGGTTCATTTCACGTTCACTTTGTTCTACTCTGGACCGAAGTGCAGCTACTGTAAACCTACCATACCTGCAAGAAATAAAAAAGGAAGAAAATATTAAGATAGAAAAAGACATCCTCATGGTGCTCTGTGAGCTCATTTCAAGAAAGAACAAAGCTATTAAACACTGTGTTAATTCAAAAACAAAAGTCAAAACTTTTCTCTGCTATTTATGAAGAAAAAAAATAATAAAATCATCATATATAATGTAGAGTTGAATACCCGAAAAGCCAAAATTAAACTATTAGTGGTAGTAAGACAATAACAAGCACATTACCCTTCAAGGGGCTGGTTCTATCAATTCAATTCAAATATGCATGAAGAATTATCCCCTAAAACAATGGCAAAGATTTATGATAACATTTGAACAGTGGTCCACATCTTGAAATATTTACATTCAATCATTTCCCTACAGTACAGCCGTGTTTTACAATACATTTCTTACACAATGTCACCTTGTCAAATATAAAATGCCAATACAAAATTCAGAAACTGCAACAGTCCTTTGAGGTGGTTTAAATACTTATGTAGACCACTACAATTATATTCCTGTTAGATATACAGCTTTTCCTCAGCCATCATGTGGATGGTACTTCCACCTGCTCCAGAGCTACTTGTTTTTTGAGCTTTAGAACTGCAACAATCTGATTTCTTGACTCCAATACAAAAAAACCTTGCCACTTGTGGTTTGTGAAACTTGAGAGTTCATGATGCTTCCAGCTTCAGCACATTTTCAACTGCCAAGATATGGACTTGCCTTCCCCCCATCCTTCACCAGCTTTCAAGACTGACCTTCCCCAGAGGGCAGGTGAAGGTTTCAGCTATATGCCCTGCTAATTCTAACCTGTCACTGACAGGTGGGCACCAGGGAATTTCCTGCTCCATCTGAGGCTTTCAATTTACTGAGAGAAAAAACAATTAAAGTTCTGGTATTATTAGGAAGGAGGGAAGGACCTGCAGCCACCCTACAACTCTGACACATAAAGTTTTATATCACAAAGAAAAGAAGTGACAATTCTTTATGTGGGCTTACACTAACCTCCATGTTACAGCATAAGTTTATATTCACTCTTTCAGCACAAACACTGCATGGTATTTCCACTCTGTTTCTTTGTCTGTCTACCGCTCCTTCAGAGTCACAGGGAACTCCCATTCCATTTGCCCCATCCTATTCCCCTCACCTCTTCGCAAAATGCTCTCACTGCAACCCTTAAACCTGTGCTGCAGTGAGGTCTAAAGGTGGTGTATCTGTGGCCTATGACTATGATGACAAAATGCCGATGAACTATGCAGGCATTTCCAGCAAGGAATCAAACTATATTTTGTTTCTGTATTTTGTTTGCTTCTGTAGGAAGCTGCTCTATGCTGACAATTACAATACAATTAAGGAGGCAGTAAAGGAAAGGAGTAGAGGGTATCACAAGCCCCAAATAAACTGGGCATATGTGACATATTTCACCATTCAAATGCTTCTGCATATTGAAAGGACTTTGGAGATTTTGGTGTAGATGGTTCAGTGGTGGGTAGATTCACACAACAGTCTAAGTCAGTTCTTTCACAGCACTGCTATTAGACCACATAAGCTTCACACAGTTTGGTGTGTGCCACTCACTGCTTTGGAGACATGGAATATCAAGGTACAAATTTTGTATTTAGAAGTGTTCATGTGGTAAGAGTCTTTTTCCCCTAAAAGCAGCTAGCTGGATTGGAACTCTGTCAAGGCAAGGACCCCCACACCTCTGCACTACCTCCACCCAATTACTTCTGTCTTCATTAAAATGAATACAAACCATTTTTCATTTGCTCACTCTATGGGTAAGTTTTCTTCATTGATTATAGCAGTTTCTCCATTTCTGGTTGCATGCAAGAGGGAAATAGGAGAAAAAGTGCACAGGATTTCTCCCTCTCCCCCATGAATTTAGACAAAAGCAGAATCACAGACAGCTTGCGAATGTAATTATATTTTCAGGGGAAGTGGGTTACAATGGGATAAGCATCCTCATACACAACACATTTTGGCTTATTCCCTCCTTCAGCAAAAGGAACTCAGGTTTTGGTTTGGGCACAAGCAAAACCATTCCTGATTCCTAGGGTAATCTGTAAGTATTTCTCTAACAGACTTGTTCACACAACCTTACAGGAACAAACCCCACAATGCTTAATAAGGGATATAAAGATGATACAAAAATACAATTTAGCTTAATAACCAAGTGAGAGATGGGGAAAAATACTTATGTAAAATAAGCAAAATTTTCTGGAGCCTGCTCTAACTTTGACATAAAAATTAAACATGTTTACATTTATATGCATACCTGGCAATTCCTTTTTAATGGAAGAATGGTGTAATATGTTTATTTAATGCAAACAGCATTAGTGACAGACTGAGATTTGCTTATGAAGAAGAAGCACTGTATTCTCAAGTGCAACTTTTATAACAAGTGTCCTCAGGTTATAAAAATACAGTATGTTGTTCAAAGCCAAATAGCATTACTAATATGTTAATTGTTGCAGAGGGATATGCTTGGGAATTTTGGTTTACAGAAATGGAGCATATGACATACTGCCTACAAACAGTAACCTCTGTAGTTAAGCACCAGAACAGTAGTGACTTCCTGCTTCTGCACTGAGACTTGCATGCATTTATTTCCCAGATTTTCAAGGACACGGATACTTAAGACAGTCATATACAATGCACATATTTAAACCAATTACTCCAGACCAGAGGATGACATAGGTGTTTTAGTGACTCATCTGGCAGGTCAGCAGAGAGCTTAAAGAGAAGTATTTTGGTTAAAGAAGCCAGAATATTCCCCATCTTCCCAAACCAAACCATTGTTATAAGAGATTTCCTCTTCTTTTCCCCTCAGGTGTTCAGGGAGCTGTGTCACAGCCAAAAAAAGTTATGCTCTGATGGCAGTAATAATAGAATGCAGTACAGTTACATGAAAATAAATTAAAGTTTGACCTCACACTCTAGATAAACTATTTTTCCCCAAAGGATATGTACCACTTCACACGTGATAACAAATTGATACATTCTTAAGGAGAAGTTAAGGTATTCAGTATACAGGTGGTAAAAAGCACTTTTCATATCTTCATGCCTGAATAATGTCTTCTGAGTGTTAGGGGTCTTGTTCTTTAGTTGTATCACTTAAACAATGAGTTTGTATCTCACTGCACTTGTTTCAAGTATATCTTTTCCCCAGAAAACTGAAAGCTTTTCCACAGAAAGTAGTAGTCACTCATAAGCGAATAGAAAGACATTTCAGGTGGGATGTGGTCCTTCAACACAAAACCTAGTGACATTTTAGATAGCCTAAGGACCTTTACATGACTGCTGACCTCCAGCTATCACTGTAATGGAATTTGGTTCCACTGAAAAAGTGGTTCTGGGTGTAGCCTACTACTGCTTTCCATCCTAAATTGGCAGATTAAGCGGCCTGACAGAAGTGTACAATGGCTTCCTCTTGAAGAAAGTAATAGAAACAATTGCTATAGATAATTTTTTAAGCTTGTAAAAGAACAGATTATTTTCAATATAAGCAAATGCTGGCCAGTAAATCACTTTTATCACACAGTTCAAGGAGTACAAACTAATCTGAAGATGCGTGGCCTTCAGAGAAATCCACCTCCTTCAAATCACACGAGTAAGACTAAGTTTTACTGTTTGCTGGATAACTGCAGAGCAGCAGGATTTGAACAGAATAGCCAAGTCAGGTACATTCTTTGTACAAGCATTTCCTTTCACTTAGAAAACTGGGTGAATTCAGACAAATATGCAAAGCTTCTCAAAGCTTTTTAATATCTTTCAGTGAAGCTGCACTGGTCTTCCACATAAGAAAGCCAGATTATATACATACAAGATTGGTGAATAGTCTAGAACAGAAAGGATTACTTCAGAATTACTAAGAAAAAACCCCACCAAAACAAATCAAACCACCAGAAAACCCACAAAACCAAGAACTGTGACCTGAATGTTCTTACCCACCCACCTAAGATTTAGCTGTGTCTCAAATGGGTGATTCCTCAGGATTTAATGTTATGACTCAAGAAACTAAAGCTGTCTTGAAGGCTACTATACAGCATTTTCTACTATTCACTTTTAAGGCCACACTGCAGCCAGTCTTTGAAAATGGTCAGTCCTCTGGGACAGCAAGCTTGTGAGGAGGTGAGAAAGTAGCCCAGGTTTCTATCAAGGAAGACAGCAGCATTCTTATGCCCTGCACCCAGGACAGTGGTTACCAGAAGTCTATTTTCAGACTCACTGAAATGCAGACTGAAGCAAATAGTCTGGCATGAGTGGAAATATTCTAGTTAGATAAAAATTGAATATTGTACAGAATGACCTGAAATGTCAGCAGCCTTAGATTTCAGTGTGCAGGCACCTGACATCACAAAGATAAATGGTAAATCTGAAGAAGGGAAAAAAAAAACAAACCCCCCAAACAACAACAACAAAACCACTCATAAAACCAGAGAAAAGAGATAATACAACTATTTTCTGCATGTTACAGATAGCTTTTCATACTGGGATTTTAACTGGCAGAAGAAATTAAATATTTAGGGAAATGACTCCTAGGAAGCCTAGAAGTCTGGTTCAAGCTAATTTGAATCTAACCATTCATAAAATACACTATACCCTGGAGTAGATGGCCATGCTAGTTATTTTCCTTCAGGTAAAAAGCAAATATCCCTTTGCCAAAAATGCTTTTAGATCCATGCTTTTAGATCCATTGTGCCTTGCCAATAGACCTAAGAGTTTTCTATTTTAAGTAGAGCTGGAAGTAACAGGGCTATATCATCCTCTAAAACTTAAGTTTTAGAAGTTTTCCTGTTCAGCATCAGAAAAACGGAACTCACTAAAATTTCTCAGGAGAAAAGGCAAAGAACAACCACTAACCTCCAAACAGTCTATTTTCTGGAGAAATGGGAGACTAATGCAGGTCATTGGTAAGAATTAGAGCAAGAAACTTACCCCTATTTTCTTTTCAGACCTATGTCCCAACTATACAATGGTATGGTATTCTTGAAAATGTTTTAGAAAGAAGAGGAAAAAAAATAAACCTAATCAATCAGCATCACCAATTAAAAAAATGTGTAAAAATCCCTGACATGGCTGCAATGTCAATTTTATTGACATACATGCCATTTTTCAGCAGGTTTTAATGGATATGAACAAAGAAAATAACTCAAGACTATGATAAAAGGAAAATTTTTTATTGACCACTGCAGAAGGGCAATTAAATTTTTTCCTATGAGGTCAGAAGTAGAGTCTGTGCTACAAAGGGATCATTCACCTGCTATCAGCATTTCCTCTGCTGTAAAGCAAAGCCTACTAAAATAATTTAGGTTGTGATACTTAGCTTCAGTGTCATTATGCGCAAAATGAACTATATTTGGGGTAAGAGAACTGAATACTAACAAAACATCTCTAAAATAATCTGATGCAAGTTTTAGTTACCCACCCAGTTAAGCATGAATCTATACCTAAAAATCTGAAGCTGAGAAATATATGACAAATGAAACAATGAGAGTGATAATAAATTACAAAGATCCAATTCAATAACTATTTAAAACTGCACTAGAGAGCAATTCAGAAACTCTTCCCCAAAATTACCTTCTGAGCAATTCTGAATAAAGTACACTGAAACAACTGTACTGGTAAATCAGTGTACCTGCACAGAAAAGCTTAATTATAGTGATACTGTCACATTCTGATGTTTATGCCTTCAATTTTGGTTTCATAAGCAAGGTAAGAAAACATTTACTGCAACCCCTGTTCAGCGTATGAAGCCTAATTGAAAGACCTTTTAGGTATTATGAAAGTTTGCCATCAGAATTGGAAGAACATTTAAAAAATGTCTCAATATTACGTCTGGTCTAGATACTGGCCAGACTAATGACTACAAGGATGAAAGCTAATTTATAAAATCTGCTAATAACACTGAGACGGCAGAGACTTCCTACCACCTGATGGATGTGACTGGAATTCAGAAGAACTTTTTTAAGTTTGACTTGTGCATGAAAACTGTCCAATTTCGAACATTTCCTATATCTGTGCTTCTAAAGAATGAAGTGGCTGGTTAGTGTTTTAGGCCACACTGGCAAAAGACAGTAAAATAATCAGCTTGCAACAAAGACTAGCTCTTCACATCCCCTCCCCTCTGATATCTAATTTTTCTGAACAACAGGATAGTAAATCTAGAAGAAACAAAATTCCCTCCACCAGGGAGTTTACCTGACATCAGTAAAGTAATAATCAAGTTAGATTACCTGGTCTCTTCTTTTCTATGATGTATTTAGTTACGTCTATTTACTTTTCAAGTTTGCCATCACTGCCAACTCACTCTTGAATCTTATGGAAAAAGACATTCCATGCCATTAACGCTCTCTCCATTGCCAAGACCTTAAACAGGACTCTATCTCCCTTATTAGAGTACTTCAGGGCTGAATATACTTTTATGCCTTCAACAGCACAGCACAAGGATCATGCATCTTCTTCCCTGTGGTCTCAAATGACAGGCAGTATGGCAAGCAAGCTTTCTATAAGGATGAATTTCATCTTCCAGCAAGTCAGTTGTGAACTAGAACAAAATCCAGAGACCTCTCTTCTGACATTACACAGGTGCCCCCAACCCTCTTCCTCAAAAGCCCCATATAAACCTTTGGCCAATGCTGCTCTTAGCTTTCTAAGTTCTAAACCAATGAGAGAAAAAAAACATAGAAAACCAAAGAAAGAAAGAAACACGACTTAAAAACATGAACACGTTGCTTCTCTTCCAAAGCACAGCAAAGTGTTTGCTTTTTGAGGTTGTTGTCACGGATATTTTAACTGTTTAAGAGTATTAAACACAGGTCTCCATTCTGAGAATGATTGTCTCATGCTGCAGAAGCTTGATTCTACATATCCTGCCCAGACACAAAGCTACCAGGGAATTTCCTTGAACAGGGACCTTAAGTCCCTATAACAAACCCTGAAGGCAGCAAAAGAAAGAACAAACCAAAACCAAAACCAAACAACCAGAACATCTGCAGTTAGTAACAGACCTACTTTGACCTTATACTACACTTAGAAATAACTAAAACCAAGTTAACTATAGAATTCAACTAATGAATCCAGTCCTTCAATATTGGCCAGATAATGCAAGAAATAACACTTGTAGTCATGTCACGCTCCTTCACTGCAGACTTGATGCTACTCTGTAAGTTGCATTTGTCACCCATGTGGTGCTATTCTGTAAGTTACATTTGTCACCCAAGTCTATGAGGGTAAAAATTCCAAAATCCACATATGTAACACCATGTACACCACCGCAGATTTAGGTTAAAGCTCTACAACAGTTAAACAGTCTATAAATAAAATACGGTAGCTTTTAAAATATTCACATACTTTTGGGGTGATCTATTATCAACTTCAGCTTTCAGTCTCAAATTCTCTCTTAAAAGGCTATTGTTTTCCATGCTCAGTTTCTTATTTGCCTAAGGAAAAGAAAAGGAAAGAAAATAAGTACAGAGTAAACCAGAAATTACTTCTAATATTTATAGGACAAGCTGTTTCTCCTTTTTAAAGAGACAGAACTAGAAATGTGAAGGCAGGAAACAGCCTTCAGACAGGGACACCACTTAAAAACCATCATGGGAAATGGCTTGCAAAACTGAATAGTGAACAATCATTTTTTATTTATATTCCCAAAATACATCACAAGTGTCCTACCTAGGGAAATAAACACAGCTATGTTAGTTAGCACAGAAAGTCATTAAGGAGAGGTACTAATGGCAATTCCATGTTGTTTTTTCCATGTGACTAAATACGTTAAGTACATTAACATTACAATGTGCAGGTATCAGCAAAACTAATGTTGAACAGCTTCCCCCACTCCAAATTAGAGTAAGATTACTTTGTGTTTTTTGACTTGTTTTTAAAGCATAGTTATCCTGTGGATGTAAATCCATTATGACAAGCTATTTGCAGTCCTTCTTTACTTTCTTCCAGGATGTTGTGATTAAGACTCCTGATACACAACCCTTCTTACTCCTTGAATTGAGGTCAATTCCTTCTTCTCAGTTCAGCAGACACCCTTAACAAGACACTTCATATAAAAACAAGTTTTCTTGCCTCTGTGTTTCAGAACAATCAGTGTCACTACCCTAACAAGTAGAAAATACTCTGCAATTCATAGTCGGCTCAATCTCTATATGCTGAAAACAGAATCACCAGTCCAGGACTTGTAATTCACCGCCTCAATTAGATGCCGCTTCCACTGCATAATGAAAGTATGATCTAGAATTAGCTACGAAGAAGGAACCATGCAACTGGGCTCGGGAGTGAAATGTACTTTTTCAGAAGGATCAAACAGTGCAAGAAGAGAGGGAGAAAACCTTAAATGCTTATACAGACCACCCCATCAACCTCTCCAGGTGAGGTGAAGAGAGCAGGGAGGGTAAAGAGAATAGAGCAGTAAAACCAAACCAAAACCAAAACACCACCACCCTCAACACAATATTCCTAGGGGCAGAAAGAGGAAATAGAGAGTTCTTATAAAGAAGGAATGGGAAGGGTGAGCCCAGGACTTGGGTGTCTGGGTGACATGTCAACTATTTGGTATTTAAAAAATAAAAGCACAAACTGTCCTGTAAACAATGACTAAGAATCCAAGATACCTAAGTACCAAAAGAGCATGAAACCATTTGAGAGCATGGACAACACCTTTCTCTTTTTCCAGAGACACAGTTTCCCCAGCCACACAATCTAATAGAAAATTGCACAACTTGCACAGAGTTGGTGGGTAGGGCATCCTCCACCTGGCACATGGCAAGGTAGAACTGAGCATCTAGATCAACAAGTTCATGTAACTGCATTATTTATGAGTGTACTTTGTCTAGTATTTCTACTACTGGGCTCCTATCACCACTTCCCTACTTGTTACAGCTCCACTCAGTAATAATGCCTACTTTGGGAGTCTCTGCTCTGGGATGTTAAATGATAAAGGTGACTGCTATTTCTTGACTCAGCCTGGTTTTAGACCCTGTTTCACTGGGAAGATATGGGTGGTTGAAGCTCCTGGGTCAGGTACTTCAGGGGATAAGGTTTCTGATTCCAGGTTGAGTGTATAGGGGAAAGAGGTCTTGCTGTTGTGACTGAGCAGCTCTTGCTTTTCAAAGACAGTCCTCCAACACATAGTGCTTCGATTTTGCAGGAGGCAACTCAGGATTTTTAATAGAAGAAATAAAGGCAGCATTCTGAATAAATGCAAGTCCAGTTCCTTCCACCTTGCTTTTCAAATTAGTCTTGAAATGCCACTCTTCTTTAATGTTTGAGGTGATCCTTCTTGTGACTGCAGGTAGATTTAGCAAGATATTTTTGTTTAGACATATTTTTACATGACTATCTCCTCCATCAATCCTTCTGCAGTATCAGGTTTTCTCCTGTATTAAATCCAAGATGTATAAAAAAGCCATAGGCTTCCAGTAAAGGATCTTCTGGTCATAAAATGCTGAAGCTTGTCTATTTTCGGTCAAAGGGTCAAGTTGCCTCAGCAAATTGCACCAAAAATATTGGCTAGCAGGGAAGGCAATAGTGCAAAATCTACCTCAGTCAACTGTACTGTATTTGGCCACTGAAAGTTGTAAAATAGATATATTATATAGATTATTGCAAGCCTGAAAAATCTGGTCATCAATACTGGTGACAAGTGCTACTATAATCCAATTACCCAGCCACAGAGTGACAGAGGAGTTGAAGAAGAGTCACATACAAGACTCGCTAGAACAAGCAATAACATCTGACACTTGTGAAGGCTTTATGGAAATACTATGATACACCAACAGTCACTGGAATTCAATTTTTAACTCTTTCTTCTGGATCTATAAAGTACCCAAAGGTCATGCTAGTTCCCACTCCCATTTAACTATCATAAAACAGTTATACTACAAGGTAGCTGAAGAAATGTATTTATCACCTCCTTTAGCTTTTCCGTGTTATCCATCACTTTTTCATACATATCATTGGCAGCTTTCAGCTTTTTGCTCCATTCCTCTGGGGTTTCTGGGCCACTGGTCCTTGCTTCATTTGCTGATTGGCTAGTTTCCTCATTTTGGCAAGACAAAGCTGATGCCGTAGGATCCAGAAGAGATTTCAGCTGTGTCTGTAAACTGAGATTTTTACCTCTCAGATCTTCCACTTCTTTTTGCAGGGATTCTATTTCATCCTAAAGGTGTCAGAAATTCACAGGAATTAAAATAATGCGAGAGATTAATTAAATAATACTGGCAAGTTCCCACAGCACTTCAGAAACACGGGTTCTGGCAAGCCCAGATGTATGCCTTCACTTACACATATATCTAAGTATGTTTATATATTGTGCTCTAGGCAGGATTTTAATCAACCTGCACACTCAAGCATAGTGAATGTTTTAGTGAAGGGAATCCCTTGACTACATAAAGGACCCTGAACAAACCAGCAGGCAGACCAAAAGCTTCAAAGCATTCAGCAACATGAATCTATTATTAGGGCACTCTGTGGGAGGATTTCCTGTATTAAGAGTGTTCTTAAGGTTGTCTTCTGCTGACTCATTTGCTGTTATTTGAGAATGTTTCTCATATAATTCTGAAATGTCACATGTTCAGATGCTGAAAGCCTCAAAATTCAAACTGGACAGAACACTGTCCGGAAGAGGCTGCTTCAGCTGTGCTAAAGTAGTAGCATCTTAGGAAAGACTCTCAAAATGCAAAGAACAAAGCTCTTAGCCATATCGTTCTGAAGCCACAGAAAAGCACAAACCTTCAAAAGCCTCTTGTTAAAGGAATAAAAGAAAGAATTTATCCTGAAAACATGTCTTCTACACTGTTCACCAACTTAAATATGTGAGTTGTGCAAGGTCAGGTTACTAAAGGAGGCCATATACAGCATTTACTTAAATCCCAGGCATATTTGCACGAATAACCAGGCTTCCCACCACCATTACCACCAGCAGGAGAACAATAATTTTAAATTTAGGGTTTTTGAAGAGATTTATGTTATCCTATGCCTATCTGAGTTGATTCAACAGAAAGGTAGGAAAACCCCTTTTCCTGATTCCTCCTTTCATAGAGGATGAAAGAAGTTGAGCTATAGGCCATCTCGTCATAAAAGACAGCCCTTACTTCCCCAGTGTTAAGGATATATACAGTATTTGCTTCCTTTCTCCCATTCTCCTCCCCGAGACAGGTTTCCTTACAAAATATGGGATGTCTTCACATTGCTGCTACTAAGGAAACAACAGATGAGAAAACAAACTAAACATATTCCTTATTAACACCTTTTCACCTTGTTCCTAAGAGAGTATTTTTTCCAGCAGGAAAGTGGAGATAAACTTCCAACCACTTACTCTCAGAAAAAAAAAAAGCAACAATGATAAAAATTAACCTATTCCAGAAGGTTACAGTAGGCAATATTCTTTAAGAAGGAATTTAGTATCCCTGAGCAACATGGAATTACTTCAGGAAGTGTCTGCATTTGTATCAAAGAGAAAACAAAAAGCCCCCAATGCCCAATCTGCATAAAGAAAACCACCCCATACCACCTGGGGGTGGAATTCCCACAAAACTGTATCATTGTCTGTGCCTGGCTATTTACAGCATATAAAGAATAACATCTTGTCTTTAGCAAGACCACTTCAAACACCAGCAAATGCTCCCCCATAACCTTAGCCAGAAACCAGGATTTTAACACAGCAGAGTTTCATGTAATTCCAGTATAAACTTTTACTCAAATTAAAAGCAACAGGACTCAATGCAAAAGGACCAGTTGTATGCAGTAATTTAACAACTGCAGTTCATCTGGAAAGTCACAACACTCCCTATGTCCTTACCTCATATTCTTTGTGGAGCAATTCAAGCCTTGTTTTACGTAGGTGTTTTCTGACTGTCGGGCTAAAGATAGGATCACTTTCACTTGTTCCTCCTAAAGCAGCATAGGATGAAAGAAACACTAGTATTGTTTATTTTTCAGTCAGTTCAATACTAGACATTCACTTTATAGCACTTTTCATATTATCAACTACAAATACAGGTAATATTGGACTAATCATTCTGGTCAATGGCTCAATGTCCAGCTGGAGACCAGTAACAAATGGTGTCCCTCAGTGATCAGTGTTGGGACCAGCCTTGTTCAACATCTTTGCCGCTGACATGGACAATGGGATTGAGCACGCCCTCAGCAAGCTTGCCAATGACACCAAGCTGTGTGGTTCAGTTGATACCCTGGAGGGAAGGAATGTCATCCAGAGGGACCTTGACACACTTGTGAGGTGGGCTGATGCCAACCTTATGAAATTTAACCATGCCAAGTGCAAGGTCCTACACCTGGGTCAGAGCAATTCCAGGCACAGCTACAGGTTGGGCAGAAAACAGATTCAGAGCAGCCCTGCGGAGGAGGACATGGGGGTGTTGGTCGATGAGAAAATGAACATGAGCCAGCAGTGTGTGCTCCCAGCCCAGAAAGCCAACCGTATCCTGGGCTGCATCCAAAGGAGCGTGACCAGCAGGTCAAAGGAGGTGATCCTGCCCCTCTACTCTGCTCTTGTGAGACCTCACCTGGAGTATTGTGCGCAGTTCTGGTGTCCTCAACATAAAAAGGACATGGAACTGTTGGAACAACTCCAGAGGAGGGCCACGAGGATGATCAGGGGACTGGAGCACCTCCCGTATGAAGACAGGCTGAGGAAGTTGGGGCTGTTCAGCCTGGAGAAGAGAAGGCTGCGTGGAGACCTCTACCAGCCTTCCAGTATCCGAAGGGGGCCTATAGGGATGCTGGGGATGGACTATTCATTAGGGACTGTAGTGATAGGACAAGGGGTAATGGGTTAAAACTTAAACAGGGGAAGTTTAAATTAGATATAAGGAAGAAGTTCTCACCTGTAAGGGTGGTGAGGCACCGGAATGGGTAGCCAAAGGAAGTTGCGAATGCTCCATCCCTGGCAGTGTTCAAGGCCAGGCTGGACAGAGCCTTAGGTGACATGGTTTAGTGGGAGGTGTCCCTGCCCACAGCAGGGGGGTTGGAACTAATAGTCTTAAGGTCCCTTCCAACCCTAACTATTCTATGATTCTATAATCTATGACCACAAAAGATTTCAAGTCATTTCATTTTCAGAACAGGCTAAATGGGAGTATCTACTAGTGATGTTTGGAAGCCAAAATCCTGCCTCACAGCAGACAACTTTTGAATTTTTTTAACTTTGTATTTTCCTTGACAAAATCCTGTCTTATCAAAGACCATCTATTAAAACAGAGCTAAGAGGGAGGAGTGGGTTGGGGAAATCAAGCATGTATTTAATTAGTACAAGACAGGGTGAGTTTCTAAAGTGAGGCTGTTCATATATATTTTTCTCTCAGAACCAAAGAAAAGAGCTGACATGTCATGCCAAATAAAGATCACAATATTTCCCAGCACTGGGGAAGTTGGGGTCCTCACTCAGGTGTTGCAGCTTTTGTCTTATTTCTGTGCTAAAAGACATCTTCTTAAAAATAAACCACAAGGGAAGAAATGCTGAACAAAACAAACAAAAAAACCCCCCCAAAAAACGTGAAGGGGTGGGGTTGGTGTGGGAGGAAAAAGACCATATACTCAAGATTCTGGATTTAAATATGCTATTGCTCAGCTGAGCACTACCCTCTTAGGTAGACAGGTTGCAAAGCATACGTAGAGTACTTCAAGCATGAGGCGTGACTTTTTTTTTTTACTGTCCAACCAAGATTTAAAAAGCAATTATCAAAGCCATGGGGCACTTGCTGCCTTTGAATAATCTAGATGTTAATATACACGTCATCTTTGGCATTTTTACCTTGTAGCTATTATGTATGCTTTTGGAAAGATTTCAAGTCAGTAGATGCTGGTAAAAAACACACAGAAGAAAAAAATACCCAGATATATTTGGACTCAAAAGAATTTCCTCCGGCAGTAAATACCAGAAAGTTATTTCAAAGCCTAGAGTCATCCTTACCTATAATTTCCTTGCAAGGATTTTCAGGTGTGATGGGAATCCTGCAAGCTGGGCACTGATTATTGTTCTTCAGCCACACTTCAATACAAATAGAACAAAATACATGGCTGTTGACACAGATGACTGGGTGACGTACCTTTTAGTATTAAGGGGGAAAAAATGAAAACAAACAGAAAGACACTATGAATACTTTAAAATTCCTTCAGGTAACAGAATATGAAAATATACTACTCCATCATTCAGTGAAAGTCTGGTCTTGTAGGAAAAAGACACTTGTTTCACAGGGCTAGCTAGCCGTGACCTCCTGACTCACAACACCAAAACTCCCTACTATTGAAGGCACCAAAGGTATAATAATTTTTGCAAAACTAAGGTCTTGATTCCAAGAGCTCATTAATACACAGTATGGCAGGCATCCTCGCTTCCCTCCACAACCTCCAGGAAATGCAGCCAATCACTCTAGTGAAATGCATTTGCCTCCCAGGTTGAAGGAGACCAAAAGACATCCATTAACCAATTTCCAAAAGTGAGGCAAAGAGGGATTGCTCCTGGCAACAACCAGCCCTTTGCCTTGGAAGAGGTGTCACTGAAACAGATAGTGTTACAGATTAGCCTGCACATAATCAGCTTCATGGAAATCAGCCTTAAAGAGGGTAAGGGCCAAAACCACAGAGCAGAAACATGAACCAGCAATCACTAATTCAAGCCTCCTGCTAGATATGCATTGCTACTAAATAAGTCATTACTCGAGAACAGGGCAGCTAACTGAAGGATTAAATATTCCAATCAGACACAGATCCTTTCAAGAAGATTTTCCTCCCCTTCCCTTCCAAAACAGAAGGGTAAACAAACTTTTAGAAAATATTAATGACAATGCATTATTCTCTCTTGTCATTTAACTATAAGCCATGTTTGAAAGTAAGTATGCATACAGGGACTAAATATGATACAGAGATAAAATGACTTTCCTCTCTATCTATGCTTTGCTGCTGCTTCCGTTACAGTTTACTATAACACGCACTCTCAAATCTCCTGGGACTTAACATTAGTATCTATGTTCAGGGTCTTAGAAATAATATTTGGTTTTCCTCCACCCCTAAGAAAAGTGTCTAAGAAATGTGTTTTGAGACACAGAAGTATCAGTATTTAGTACTTTAGATTCTACTGTGTTGCACTTAAAGCCCAAGTTGAAGGGAATCCTTTCAACTTTAAAAGAAGTCCTCATCATATCCAAGATCTTCCTTTTTCATTCTATTAGTAATGCAGTCAAACTAAAGAAGAAAAATAAAATACTGGCATGAAGAAGCAAGCAACTGGAAAGGACAGCCAATAACCACTTGGGAAAACAGATTAGATGTGTCCTGTAGTAATCATACCCATATCATCAGGGTTGCACAAGTTAAAACCCAACCATTTTACCACTGAAATACACATGTATCTGAATCAAGGCCCAGATCTACCAGCCTCTTCTCCAATTTACTATTTATGCCTCTGTCTCATAACACGATTCACAGTGTTTTTAAAACCTCCCATACAACAGTCCTGGGAGCCAAAGGATTTATCTGTACACAAACAGAAACTCAAGTTACTGAAGGTGTGAATAGAGAGAGACTAAGCAATTTCTCCAAGCGCCTGCACAATTTCACCTCTAATTAAGGAGGTGGTTTTTTGTTTGTTTGTGTTTTTTTTTTTTTTATTGATGCAAGCATTAGCACACCAACGCTTTGGGAAAGTTTAAGTATTACAATTTCAATTACATATATAAAATCTTGCTATTTACTGCTTTTCTTTGCCAGAAAAGAGTATTCTCTAGCTTTCCCACCAGCAGCTAGAGAAAAAAAGCCCCAACTTTTTCTCTAGCTAAACTTCTTTCTGACTCAGAGGCAGCCCCAGAATAGTTACATGGATGGTGATGACAAGACACAGAGCAGAATAATGTACAATAATCCAAACAGGAAAAGACATTTCAGGAGCTCAGGTCTTCCCCCTGGGGAGGAAGAGTCCCTCAGTTACCTCAAAACTGACACAGAAGCACACTTCTTGCAAGCAAATGATTACTCCGTATCTCTAGCAAAACAGTTCACATTTATTACTCTCCAGGGTATAGTGCTTCTGATTTATACACCTTTACAAGTTTCATTTCAGGGCTGAGGTTTATACTTTTGTTGTCTTGGGACCCACACAAAGCAAATCGCACAAGAGCAGAAGCTGCTATTGAAGGTCACACAATGGCTGGGGGTACTGCTGCCCTTCACTCAGTCCCTGAGCCACCGACTGTGACAAGCCCCGGGGGTGGAGGATCGGGACATACTCATTACTAAAAAAACATTTCACTTGAATTACAGCACAGTTTGAGTTCCTTTATCAACCACAATGTCTAGAAATACTACGGCTTGAGAAGGCCTGATCAGCTAGCTGGTTCTGAGCTATTTCCTAATTCCCCCTCCTCCACCAGTCAATTCCTACGCAGGTCAAAATCAAATCCTATACACATCTATGCTGCTTTGAAGGCACTTCTGGACCTTCAAGCAGCATTAATGGAGGAGCAGGCGCATGTTCAAGCTGGCACACTAGTATCAGTGAATGCATCCGCAGACATCCTAAGGGGTTTCAACACACACAAAATTGTGTGCTGAAGCCCAAGCAAACTGTCAACATCAAAACCTACAGGAGAGACTTTCAGCCCTCCTAGGACGAGTGAACCTAACAAGCCTGATGCAGGTGGCTTCTGAACTAACTGCTAATTATGAATACAGATATTATAAATACAGACTGTGTTAAAAGAATATTCAGGTAAGAAACACGGAAATTTATCCAGGCAATTAACTCTGATTATAAATGGTTATTTGCACATCTTGGCAATATACTTCACAACACTGCTCACACTAACAAAATGGGCTAATACTCCTCCTCTTCCCCCTCCCCCCCAAGATTTCTGCTTCTTTAAAAACAATGAGTGGTTGTCATTACTGAATCGGTTTCTCTTCAATCTCTCTTTTTATTCCCTTACTGTTAAGAACAGTGAATAGTTCCTCTTTTGCAGTCCTTTGCAAATTTTGCAAAGATAGCAAGTACATTCTGACTCTTCATCAGGGACTGCAGCAATAGGACAAGGCAGAATGGGTTTTAAACTTAAACAGGGAAAGTTCATGTTAGATATAAGGAAGAAGTTCTTTACTGTGAGGGGGGTGAGGCACTGGAACAGGCTGCCCAAAGAAGTGGTAAATGCTCCAACCCTGGCAGTGTTCAAGGCCAGGTTGGCTGGAGTCTTGATAGCACGGTCTAGTGTGAGGTGTCCCTCCCAACCTTTCCAACCCTAAATATTCTATGATTCTATGACTCTAGGGCGGGCCTCCTACTCAAATTGAAGCCTCTGCTACAAACCACATAAATATTAGAACCTGTCAACCCTTCACAACACTTTCTGCTGCCCACTACAAGACAGGACAAAACCAGCAAGATTTTTCCCTTATTCCTCTAACTTTACTCTTGAGAAGACCTTTCTCTGATAAAGTTTTTCAGTGAAGTTCCAAACTAGAGACAAAGGTAAATATTATAAAAATCCCGACAGCCAGAGCTGTCAAATTTGGCGAAATTTAAACAACTTAATCTATCCAAAAAGGAAAGTATTCAAATACTTTATCACAGATATCACCAGCAGATTCACTTACATAATGTTAATATATTACCTTAGCAGAAGATGTCAAGTGAACAGAGCATGGAAATCTCTTCCAGTACAAAGTCAGGAACATCTATTCCTGGCCAGCTCCAGGAGATAAGTGGAAGTGTGAAACAGTGGCTTGAAATAACCCAGTGGCTTTATAGCCAAATATGAGTGAATATCTAATGAATCTACCAAGTGTTTAGACTAGAAAGTTACTAGGATCAGATTCAAACAGCAAATGCATTGTCAGTATGATTTTGCTCACCTCTTTTTCAAGAGTATCCACTCTTGATACAGTAAATTTGTGTTCTCCTCCCTTTTTCATTAAACTGATAAATAGGAGAGATAACAGGACCACTGCCGGAAGTCTTGCTCGGCTTCCACAGAAAAGCCACAAAATGACTAAATATGGTAATTCTTTCTCAGAGTTAAGATAGTTGAGAAAAAGGAGATGTCCAATGACTTACACTACCAGCACTACACATACTTTCTATAGCAAATGTGTCCGTTCTTTTGTTATCTAAAGCAGAGAAGGTGTGGGAGTAAAGGCCACATGAAGTAGAAACTAACTGGACAGTAAATGCCAGAGTACAAACATAAAAGACTATTTCTTCCCTTGTAATCACTGTTGTGGTTTAAGAGGTTTATTTTGTTCTGGAGAGCAAGGAAAAACAAAAGAACAAAAACCCCAAGTACTGGGGAATGAGCAAAGAATTTGAGAAGCAATTAGTGACAGCTATGAAATTAGCTCTGGGGCTTTTAGAGACTAACAGACTAATAAGAGCCCTCCACTTCCCAAGGGAGAAGAAAAAGGGGCCGAGAAAGGGTCAGAAAGAGGAAACGGAAAGTTTTTTCTCCAGATTCTTGCAGTTTCGTTCAGTAGTTTTTAAATCCCCTTGGTCACACATCTCTTTGTTCCACTTGTCCTCTGCCACACGACCCCACGCCTAAATACAAACCCACCTAGCATTTTAAGAGATTATCCTGCTGATACCGGAACCGAAAAAAACAAGCCCAAAACCTCCACCCTGGAGCCACGCACCCATATTTCAGCGCGGACGGGACTTCGAGGCCCTCAGCCCTTTCTAACAGCCGCTAGGAGACGGCGGACGCGCTTCCAGCTATCCCAGCGCTGGCAATAAACCTTGCCCGCAGCCAGGAACGGCCCCCCCCCGGGAGGCGGGATTCCCTCCTTCCCGAGGCTGCGACCCTCATCACCCGAGGAGACTCCTCCTTGGAGAAGGGACTCCACATCCCAACTCTTCCCAACACGGAGCCGCAGGCTCTCCAAAGAGATAAACCCAGTGGGGTCAGGGCTGCGCGCCTCACGGAGGAGCTTCCCGAGCAGCCGCCGGCCGTACGCCCCCCCTCCCTTATCCACCACCGGGCCGCCCGGAGGCGGGGGCTGACGGGGAAGGGCAGCAGCAGCTCCGCCGTTACCTTCCCCAGGCAGATGTGGCAGGTGATGGGCAGCGTGAGGGACAGCGTGACACTCGGCCCGTGCTGTGCCATCACGGGGGCCCGTCCCCGCCAGCACGGAAGTACCGCAGGCGGCGGCAGCGGCAGCGGCAGCAACGGCCCCCCGCCAGCCCCGCTACGGCAAGCCGGCGAGGCCAAGCCGCCGCCCGGCACAGGGGAGGCGGTGCGCGCTTTTGCAGCGCTCCCCTGGAGGGCGGGCGGGAGCTGCGCCCCCCTCATGGCTCTGCTGGTGGCCTTGGGGTCCCGCGGAAGTTTTGGCTTCCTCACGGCCTTCCTGAGGGGAAACACGGTGCCCTTGCAGGAGGGGGCTGACGCGAGTTCAGGGGCTCTCGTTTCCTCTTATAAACGTATCCCTTGTTCAGGTTTCGCTGTGCTGAATTAAATAAAGCAGCCGGTTTAGTCCTGTTAATTGTTCTGAGACTTCCTCTGTGCTGTTCCCCATGTCCCTTTTTGTGTTGTACTCCAGAATATGATACAACAAATGGGAACGTGTTCCAGAGAAAACTCCTGCCCCCTTGCCCACTGCCTCGAGTCCCTTAGGCTGCAGCAGCAGGTACCCAGTGGTGGTCTGGTGCCTGGCATTGCCCTTTGGCTCCCATGCTGTCTTCCTGCTGTGCAGGTGCCTCACTTCTGGCCCAAAGTATTATCTACTGGATCAGATGGGATGTTCACAGCCCATGTGGCTGTAGCTTTGAGGGTGACAAGGAAAAGAGGACAGTGATAAGCCCCCAAGCCCTTTGAGTGCCCTGTGGGGGGGCACTTGCCTAATGATGCCTGATGGGAGATCTTGTCCTGATGCATGGAAACTGAGGGGTCAAATCCACAGATGAAAGCGAGTGCCTGGTGCCTGGCTTGCACCAGCAACTCTCCAAATTGTGGAGCCTTGATGCTGCGCTTTACAGGGCTGCCATAGAGCAGCTGGGAAGTGGTGCTGGTGGGACGGAAGGCTCCCAGGAATCTGCTCGCTTGACCTCAGTCCCAGGATTCCTGTAGTTTCTTGTAAACGTGCCACAGCATGCTGAAAATTACAGACCTGAGTGATTTAACATTGTGCTGCATGATAAATGCTCAGAATGCTGAGCAGCTAATTCAAACAAGCGTAAAGTTGTGGATGCAATGATTAACAAGGAAGGTGTCTTAGGCTGAGACAGCAGAGTTGCACAGGTGCGTTTAAATTTGATATAGGTAAGTCTCTGCAAATAAAGCGAGCAAACTAATCCATGGTGACCTTCCAGTGTAGACAAGGCCTGGTGGCTTCAATGGTAACATATCCTTAGGTGGGAAAGGCCAGGTTTTAATAAGGTGCACTTGATAAAGATGGAGTATTCACGTGTTAAAACACGACACTTTTTAGTAAGCTTCAGAAAAAATGATTTAATGTCAAATAAAAAAAACCCCAACAATTATCAACATAATGGACATACCGTTAATTATCTTAAGCTGGAGTGAGTGGACATCCACTGCCAGGAGATGCTTTTAGTCCTGGCACGATCGACCTGATTCTTAGGTAGGAGGGTGCTTAGAGAATTTTCACGTGAGTGATATAAGATTATTGGGTTTTGAGCTTTAAAGAGAACTGCTGGAGCCTGAAATTCAAGTGAGTTTATCGTGCAGCCAGTGAACTGCACAGGAATGCAGTGAATCCCTGTTATTTATCTTTCTTAGCTTTATATTGATTTTTATTGAGAAAATGTGAATAGACAATACAAAGAGCATAAAGGGTAAACACATGAAAGAGAAATCAAAAGCAAGAAAATGCATGTAACAGTTGACATGTGAAACTCTTTTAAATGAATCTGGGATAAAGCTGGAACCCTTTCAAAGGCTTGACTTCCACTGCTTCAAAAAAGTGTATGTAACTGGAAAGTGACCTGTTAGAGAACAAGCTCTGTTGGGATGAATATATTTTCTCTCAACCAAAAATAGCTTATAAAGGAGCTTATTTTTCTGAATAAGCTGCTAAAAGGAATATGTTTTCTGTGTAAAAAGGTTACACTTATTTGTTTAGCAGATTTCTGTTGAAGTTAGGTGCCTAAGTCAGTGAACAAATACTTCAAAAATTATTTGTGATTTAGTAGTGCCTGAGGTTTAGTTGAAATTTTTGAGATGATGTTGCGAACTCTTCAGGCATGGAAAATGTTTAATTCCATAGTGCTGAGAAGGGGAAGAGAGAATGAGACTGCAGGGAGTGAGGAGAAAGGGTCTGGAGGGGTAACAGTCTGGTGCAGCTAAGGGGGGCTGAGAAATAAAATGCGACTGCAGGAGGTAACAGATGTTTAAAAGGTCCAAGCTATCTAACAGAGTAATCTCTGTAGGATGGAGGCAGCTTTTGCAGAAAGGCTGGAGCCAGGATGAGACAGATAAAAATCTTCCTGGAATGCCTGGCATGCCTCTGCAGAGGCATTGGGACATAAGGATCAAACAACAGGCAGAAGATGGTGTCTGGCCACTGCTGTTAGTAAATGTACAGAGAAAGGGTGGTTAAAAGGATAGGTTAGAAGACAAGAACCTAACCATCAATGAAATCCTAGAATTAGGGGTTTATTTGTGAAATGCTTCAGCCACTTCACTACATGTTCTTGAAATCCTAGAAACCTTGAGATGATTAATAGTGAAAATATAAAATATTATTGATCATAAAAATAAACAGTTCTTTGATGAAATCTTGACAAGAACTGTTGTAAGACAAGCTGGTAGGAGTACTAAACTGAGCAAATTAAGTTTTTCAACATGAGATTTACAATGGTTGGTTCATAGAGCTGAATAAAATTACTGTATTTTTGGCTTAAAGTGCATAAGTTGCCTTTATTTTGGATCTGTGTGCGTTTCAGAGCAGCATCTTGTGCAGAAAAAGCAAGGAGCAGGTGAGGCTGTGAACAGTGAAATCCATGTCTTCTTGGCTGATTAGTCCAGTGATGAGCGATAAGTAACTAATGCAGTTGTATTATTTCTAACAGTTTGGGTACGCTTGGATATGTGGGTTTGTGCCATTAAAACCTGACTTGAAAGTCATTGTTTACACCTGCACAAATAGATATAAATCACTGTTTTTTTTTGTTTTTCCTTTTCGTGTTCTGCTGAAATGAGCGGAAGCTGCTAGGCGGTGCCAGGCCAGACTAACCACTCTCAGCATCCACTTCTGCAACAGTGGAGTCTGTTCTGGTTTGCCTTGAAGAGTTTCCTCTTTGAGAAACAAGGCTGGATCTTTAAGAAGGATTTCCCAGGTGGTTTTACATGATTTAATACAGAGAGAATACAGAGTGAAAGTTTCTTAAAACTGAGAGTAAAGAAGTATGGGATTCTGGGTGACTAACTTCAAACCCAAGGTCTTAAAACATGCTACTTCCAGGAAGGGTGAAAACAGGTCCCCGCTGCTCAGGATTTTATTGTTGATGAGCCCTGCAGTGTGATGGCCTTGATGGCTCCTGTTGTGAGCTGCCGGTTCAGGGATTCACTGACAGCCTAATCCCTTCTTCTTGATGCCCTTCAAAGGCCATTCAGTGAAAATACACAGCTCTCAGGTACCCCATGTCTATACTGCCTGAGGATCTTGTAGGCTACTCTTGTTACTTGCTTTTTGGGATTTCCCATGTGGCTTTCATTTTAAAACGAAGGTGAATTTCATCTCTCTCTTTAAAACACTGATTTGGCTTTTGGCAGTGGAAAAAATATTACACCACCAGAAACGAGATAAAATGAATGCTGGAGGACAGAAAGTAAATCTCTGGCTGAAGGACAGGTGAACTGGGGGCAGAGAAGAAGATAGCCTTGGCTATTAAATATTTGAGACTGACAGTCTTGTGTAAGCTTGGTGCAGTTAGTCTTCACACAAAATAGTAAAAGATGACAAGTTGCTTTTAGAGACAAAGTTTCCCATTTGAGTTAAACTGCTATAACTTTATCTCCTTCTAAAGTAGAATATACCTACTCTCAGGCTCCATGATCCACAAAGGAATTCAAAGTGACTACCTCAGACCTAGACATCTTACTTTTAGGTGTCCAAAGTTCAGTGAGAAAAATCCCAATTTTTTATGGCCTTTTAAAAATTTTTTTGATCTTCCCCTTCTGATACTTTCAATTTTTCTTGCTATATGTCAGCAAGGAGCCAAACAAGTAAGTAGAAATGCTGGGTTACATCTGAAGTCAGTGCATCTTGCATACATAAGATGTTAGGCTCCACCCCTTTTTCTTTCTGAGGGACATGCAAGAGGTTGATTTCCTGCCAAACCCTTTTCCAGATGAATATTTTATCCAAACAAATGGAATTATCAGAGAACAACATCTGCAGGCAGGAAGAAGCTCTAGAAGTATTATGCTGTGCAGGTATAGTCTAACCCAACTGTATTGTTATCATCTCAGCCTAAGCATCTGTCCATGAGCTTTGCAAGAGACTGTCTGAGGAAAGATTGGTTGCAATGAGTCACAGATGTACCAGGTGGTGTCCTGACCATCAAGAGGTATGGATAAACAGGCTGTGCTTTGTATTCTGTGCTTATTTGCTAGTATATAGTGAAACAGACAATGTAAAAGAAAGGGGGTGGTCCATTTTAGCTAGTTTTTAAGCATAGATGATCTCTCTCTAAACCTTCCATCTTTCGAAATTTAACTGAATTCAGGAGAATGGTGATACTATGTAGCCTTGCAGACAACATCTTTCAGTCTGGGCCATTATTCTGCAAGTTTTGGCTGGTGCTTAACCTCTACTATTCTTCCTTACCCCAGAGTTTGAACCATGGAGCATGTTACTGACAAAAGATACACATGGGTGCAACAGGCCTTGATTTAAGATATAATTATGACACCCTTTCAGTACACCTTATGGTGCTTGCCACCAGCTGAGGATCCGTCCCCTGAGATGTAGCAAGGAACAAGCTGTGAAAAAGTCACAGAGATTACAGATATCGTGGAATTTTGTTTCTTTCCTTTTTTTTTTTTTTTTTTTGTTGGAACTGAGGGGAGGCTAGGATGAACAGTGTAAAATCTTAATGAGTAAATTGTGCTGAGCAGCGCAGTTCACCTCTGTTATTCTCCCAGCCTCAAATGTTTATCAGCCAATCAGGGTGTACCTTAAAACCAGAGATTTATAATGAAAAGTCAGCCCTAATTGAATTTCATCATTAAGAACACCATCAAACAGATACAGAACACCTTATACCACCTTGTTTAAATTAGATTCATTTTTCTGATTAATTATTAAAAGGAAAGTTTAAAAAATCATAAAATCTTAA